CGGTCGGGCTCTAGTCAACATCACATGTTTTAAGGCCTGTTGTCACCAAGACAAGGTTTGCATGTGATTTGTCTGTTCAGACAAGGACAATAGAAACAGCAAATGTGCTCAATAATGAAACGCAAGAATTCAGCATTACACAGAACAACGGTACACAATTGTACATTTTTGCAAATCTGCCATTTATTAAACAACATTAAATACAAGAATAGAGAGACAAGAGAGCTGCTTTTGGCATGCTAAACATCTGTCTTGGTGTGAAAAAGCCTTTAGAGCTTCATGACTCTGTAACATTGGGGTTGTCATTAATGAATAGTTCAGCTGAAAATACTGAAAATTATATAGACACCTTTTTCAACATTTGGACCTAGGTATGTAACGATTAACCGCGAGCCGGTTGAAAATCGATTCAAATATGTGACGATTCAAATCGGTTGAGATGCTAAACAAATCGCGATTCATTTAGGGGTAGTTTATGAATCCATGTCTGAGGGGAACTTACTGTCTTTAGAAAAGTTTAGATGAAGGGCTCAGTGCGACCATTTTTATTTTTTATTTTATTGCAGTAAACAACAAGGATTACAGTACGTACAAAACAAACAGTAAAAAAACAGTACGTACAAAATACCAATCAATAATAAACTACTTGAGGATTAATAGATAAAACATCACAGAAAAAAAACAATATAATATAAAAATTCTTAAGAAAAGGACAGAAGAAAAAAGAAAATATGAAGAGATTTTTTTTATTTGTGTTTTTTATTCCTTTGATTTGGGGTTTGTTTTAAAATTTCAATTTGGTTTTGTTATTTACATTTACATTATATTTAAATTTTGTCATTTAGCAGATGCTTTTATCCAAAGCGACTTACAAATGAGGACAATAGAAGCAATCAAAACCAACAAAAGAGCAATAATTTACAAGTGCTATATTAGTATATTATTATAGTATTATATTTCAGTTTCACAAAGAAATGTGCAGCATTTTGTCCAAGCAATAATAAAAGGACACATGTAATTTATAATTTGTCTTAAATCTCATTTTGTAAAAAAAAAAAAAATAATAATAAATCGTGAATCGAATCGAATCGTGAAATCAAAATCGTGGATCGAATCGAATCGTGAGTTGAGTGAATCGTTACATCCCTATTTGGACCATTTAAATATGATGTCATTGTTGTTAAAACTGGTTTCCATTTACTTCCTCTAACTGGTAATGATTTACTGAGAAAGCACCTCGACTAGTACATGTTTGTTTTTCCGTATTTCAACAAATATATTTCCTGGTTATGAAGAGTCAACAGCACAGAGGTGCAGGCCAAGAAGTCTATGAATTTAAGTTTCACCCAGCTGTTTAACAATAACATGCAAGTGATTACCCAGGCTGTATTTATGCTGTCCATAAATACAAGTAAAAAAAATGAACTAAATATTAAAGAACTGAATTGCAATGATTAATAGATTTATACATCGACAAAAACTATAAGGCTTCTGTCTTTGGATATGCTTAAAAGCTAAATGTTTAGAGGGGGAAACCTAACTAAATGCATTCCCTTTGATATGGTCATCTATAACTGTTTAAATATTTGTCCTGAAACATTTCCTACATTTTAAAATTCAAGGATAAAAAGAGATTCCCACAAAGATAAATTTATAGTCCAAAACCTGCTGGGGGCAATGCTTGACCAGAGCAGTTATGGCTTGCACACATATCCGTTCCAGGGCATCCCAATATGCCGACTCAAAGCACTCGAAGCCAAATCTGCAACTGGGTCAGGAATGAGATGAAAAAAAAAATAGTTTGCATTCCCTTCATTGGACTTTTTCAAGTTTTGTTGGTTTACAGCACAGAATCAGCAGAAATGGCTCAGAAAAACAGATTTTTTTTAATGTCTAAAGTTAAAACAATATAATGTAAAAAAAAAAAAAAAAAAAAAAAAAAAAAAAAAAAAAAAAAAAAAAAAAAAAAAAAAAAAAAAAAAAAAAAAAAGATCACTAGTGCAGTTAATTAGATTTAGAAGTCACATAAATAGTTAAGTGGACATAACCGGTGTGGTTGAGAGGTTCGATTGATTGAAGTACAACACAATGTACTCAATGTATTATAACACAAATAAGGGGTTAAAGTTAAATAAACAAAAGGTTGGTCACCATACACTAACAAACTTTATGTGATCTGCCGAGCTTGAAAAAAAATTAGGAAGGGTCTTGGTGGCCACATGTGAGAGAAACCTTTCCACACAGACCAACGGTGCATCTACTACATACTGACTTGAAATGGGTGAATACTAGTAAGAACTGTAATCAATTTAGTAGAAAGTAATATTTTACTATAACAATATTCTTCATTGTAAGTGGAAAAAAACATTTAAAAACGTCTCTGGTTTCTTTTTATAGCATCCAGTTATAATTTAATACAAAAAGAAAAGGCAACAAGCATCTTTAAAACAGTAAACGTTGACTGGGAGATAAGCAATGATGAACGACAACAAAAGTATGTTTACCGTTCCCGACTAACTACTTAATTTGTAATCAGTATCCATTGTTATTAACCACTTAAAAACCTAGGGGATCACCAAGACCACCAAAGACAAAGCTATCACATGCCATTACATGAGCATGTGGATCGAGTCCAAAGATCAACAACTTAGCAACTGAGAAGTATCCTACTATGACTATGCCTTTGTCATGCTATGATGAATTTACAGGGTTAATCAATGGCTGTACAAGTTCTAAAAGATCTTTTTGAATCATCAGCATGCTAAGAGATGTTTAAATGTAATTTATGTGCCAAACAGACAGTCCTGACTCAAACTCAATCTACTGGTTGAGCCAAAGTTGCTGTGTCAGGCTGGTCAAGATGCTTAAACAAATAAAGCATTGACGGATAGTGTCACAGAGCCACAACCTACAAATGATCTACTCGCCTATGCATATTCATTTAGGATAAAGTATGTTAACACTGAAAAATGCACATTTTAAACAGCACGTAAGAATTTCGTACATATTCTTCAAAAGAAACAAAAATGCAATACTGTCGTTTAAGTACTAAAAGCTGTGCAAACATGGCTCAACAATGATGACCAGTGTGAGGGAGTTTTGGGCCAGTTGACAGGACAGTCATTTGGTCTTTTCCAGTCAGTGCTGCTTTGCCACTAAAAATTTTACATTCGTAGATCTGAAGCCTTGAAACTTAAATGTTTGATTTTCTGTGATGAAATCTACATTGCTGTTGCAAATTCTGCTGATTTTTCAGAAAGATAATGCTATCTAGCTGGCTAACAGATGAGGTTTTGATGAAATTGCAAAAGTGACTTGTGGTATTCTTGAAACCTCTGTTATAATGTCAACCCTCTACATTGCGAGTAAATCACTCGCATATGCGACAATCTTCACTCTGGGCGACTAAATTATGTCTAATATTAGCCAATGGCTAATAAATTCTCAGATTTTACTCGCCAGTGTGTGAGTTGGAGGCTGAGTATATGATTAGCACAGATATATTTTCACTCACAGAACACTCTGACTGAGCACTTCAGAGTTTCACTCTCCGTCAAGCGATCTGTGATATTTTTCAGTTCATTTGAATGGATGCGCAGCGCACCTGTGTTTGTGTATTTGGCATAACGTAAGCTCTAGTGTGAAGGCGCACGACTCGCTGAGGCTTTTTCTCACTCGTGCATAGAGCGAGAGTCTTACATAACATGCAGAATTGATGCTCTACATGTAAACGATATACTTTGTTGTATTTTCCTGTAAAAATAACAGAGTTCCTTTGGAATTCTTCAGCTTTTAAGAACTGCCGGGTTTTCCTGTAGTAGGCGGAACTAATGCGCAAACGACAATCTCATTGGCTGGTGCTCACCTATTATCGTCCCGTTTTGATTTCAGCGAATCAGTTCGGAGCAAACGCACACAACCTGATTAATATTCATGAATCCAGTAGCTCATTAATCCTTAGTGCGTTTTTACACTGTTCTTATTAGTAGAATGCGTATAATAATAATAATAATATCTTATCAGTATTATTGTTCGTTTTTTGTACAGGAACACTGAATGACCAAAAAAAGCGCCAGCACCAGTCCTAAGTTCATGGTTACCAAGTTTTAATTCTAATTACTAAACTTCTATTATTAAATAATACTTGATTATCATATTATAATGCTTGACTGCTTGACTGACTGATATTAAGAGTGTACTTTCAGATATTTAAAAAACTGTACCATTTTACAAACAATATATATGTTTGTAAAATGGCATAACTTATATATATATATATATATTAGAGCCCTAATAATAATAATAATAATAATATCTTATCAGTATTATTGTTCGTTTTTTTTACAGGAACACTGAATGACCAAAAAAAGCGCCAGCACCAGTCCTAAGTTCATGGTTACCAAGTTTTAATTAAATTTAATTAAATAATACTTGATTATCATATAATAATGCTTGACTGACTGATATTAAGAGTATACTTTCAGATATTTAAAAAGCTGTACCATTTTACAAACATTATACATGTAGACCATATTTGAAGAATATGGGCAACAGGTCCCCTATGACTTTCAACGTGTGGTAAAAAAAAAATGCCAATGGGGACTAGAAACTTTTTGGTTACCAAAACTTTTTTTAAATATCTTTTGTGCTCAGCAGAAGAAAAAAAAAATCACAAGTCTGGAACAACTTGAATTTTAATTTTTTGGGTGAACTAAGCCTTTAACATATAAAGATTTTATTTTAAATGTACTGGCATCAATATGCTAAAGCAGTGATGGGCAAACCTGGCCCTTCCAGGCCACTTTCCTGCAGAGATTTGATCCAACCCTGATATGACTCACCTGCCTGTAGCCTTCTAATAGTCTTGAAGGCAATGATTAGCTGGTTCAGGTGTGTTTGATTAGGGTTGGAGCTAACCTCTGAAGGAAAGTGGCCTGGAAGGGCCAAGTTTGCCCACCCCTGTGCTAAAGAGATGCACTAAGATGCTTTATTGCACTTACCTGCCACTGCCGCTGCTGCTGGTGCTGCTGACAGAGTCAGAGCTGGAGGAACGACTGCGGGATCCTGAGCCACTGCGGGAGCATGCCAGCCGCACTGCTTGACTCGGCAGCCTCTGTGGTGATGGATTGTGTGATTGCGAAGAGTGTGGTGAACGACTGCGACTGTGGTGGTATGTCCTTTCTCCTCGTCTGCCTCTTTCTTTGTATAAATCCCGATGGACCACACTGGCGAGTGTGAAAGCTTCACGGGCACGGAACTCATAGCGAGTCTCTGTAGTCTCAAAACGAGTAGGGCTCCGGCTTCGTGAACCATAGTAGACAATGCCTCCCGGTGTCGAGCTGCCACTTCCTACTCCAGCAGCGCTGCTACTGTTTCCACCAGCACCGCTGCTTCCTGCAACACTCCCTGCAACACCTACACTGGCCCCTGATGAGCCGCCTCCAATGCTGCCACTGGCAGAACTGGCACTCCCGCTAGCTCCACTGAGGGCCCGGTCCCTAGAGTCTCTGTAATAATCAGTTTCGTAGTGACGTTGGCGATCGAAACTACTGCTGTTGCTGCTGCTACGCTCATGGTGTCCATAGGCACTGTGATCGTAAGACCGCTCTCGACCGTCCGCAGCCCTACATGACAAGGAAAGGGATGGAGAATGGCAAAGAAAAATGGAAAGAATGAAATGAATGTTATTTTCATCCCTGACAGGCATACAAGTCAAGTGACATGCGTTGAAGAGTGATTTAATCAAAACATAGACTGCAAGTGCATGTTGGAAAGATGCTGTCTTGGACTGTCTTTTATTGTAGCATTCAATACAAATACTGATACCAGGTCAGGACAACTTGACCTTTGGGACAACTTTTTTTGTTTGTTTATTCATTTGGGAATTTGCTTTTGCAATTTACTCTTTTTGCATTTGTGAAATCAAACTGAATCCATACTGAAAACAAAGGGGGAAAAAATAATGCATGACAAAAGTCATGCATGCCATGGTCAGTCACATTCCAAGTTACACAGGCTACAGAAAAAAAATCAGGAGACTCATTTACTTTACAATGGCAATTTACAATTTTCTAGATAACTAAAATGAACTATTTTTTTAATGCATAAAACTACTGTTTTATTTGTTGTTGTTGTCTTTCTTAGTGAGAAATTGCAATTACATTACACTTAGAGATGACCAATTAGATAGTTATTTTCTTCTGTATTACCATGAATATAATAAAGCAAATATCTTTTTTAATTAGAAATTCCAGACAACCTACTTCCCTTCTATGATAGAATGACATAACCGCCCGCGTATTACTGCCTCATTTTGTGATTTAATTAACTAAACGGGATGAGGTTTCATGAATACTATTAAGTAATTCTCAAATAATAAAATCAAATCCACAGGTTATAAAAACTCATTATTTTGGAATAAAGGTCTTTTACAATAATACGCTCCAACATCATTTGTTCTGGTCAGGCTGTAGAAAAATGATTCATGTGGAGAGTGATTCTAAACCATGGTTTTTTTTTTTTAAGAGGAACACAATAAACCCTAACGAAAAGGAATGAGTAAAAGGGACACCATGATATGCTAAGCTCTACCCTAGCTTCACTTTAATAGCCATTTTGAAACACCTGAAGACTTTCAGTTTCAGTAGCCCTTTTCAAACTATTAAAACATAACTGCAATCATTCCACAACCCTTTTATTAGTCAAAAACCTACATATATTTTTAAATCGCTGAGGGAAAAAGCAGTAATATTTTAATATTTTAAAAATTATATATTTATACTGATGAGTTCTGCTAATTTTAATTTTAAATCAGTCAATCTACCTGTCGGTTTTTCAATATCTTACAATGATAAATCCTTGGGTATTTAAACTTATACAAATTATCAGATTGCAAATAAAAATTATTTCATTTACTTTTTCAAACTTGAATAGTCTTAAGTGTGCAACAGAAAATATTAATAACCAATAGCCTAACCTATGAGAGGTAGTCTATTAAAATAATATTACCACGGTTAAGAATTGTTCTTAGGCATGACAAGCAGTGTACCTAAAGTCTGTTTAATCTTGCAATAGAGCTACCAACAGTTACATTTATTACTAATAATGATAATAATCAAAATAAACTAATATTTCGCAAAGTTATACTGACCACTTACCATTAATAACTGCATGGTTGCCAAGCAGCATAGCAAATTTACACATTAATATATTAGCTATTTATAACACAAGTCAATTCTGTCATTTCTAATCACTAAAAGGTTGAAACAACACCTGACAAATTCCATTAAATGCTTGAGATGCAGTTTCGCCAGAATAAGTATTTGTTAGTCCTGACAGTGAGTGATAGTGAGCATGTTGCAACAAATCTGACCTAGTTAATTTAAATAAGTTTGGTTTCCATTAGAAAAAGATGCTTTTGTTTAGTGAAGCCAGCTGTGTAACTTGACTGTGATCAACCTTTACAGTACATATAGTCCACTCCTGTAATTTGCACAAGAACTGACAAACAGTGGTGACACATTGCATCACAACACTCCACAGCTCATTTGCCATCTCCTCCATTTTCATAGAGCTGTTATGTGTTTGGCTAGCTTTGCTGTATTCTTTAAAGTCATTTGAACCTTTTTGTCTTCATAAGCCTCAAACAATATTCAAATTATTCACGTGGCTAAAGCAGAGAGGCAAAAAGCCAGGGAGTGTGACAAAGATTGAGAATCAGGAAAGGGACAGCAAAGTGAGGTAAAAATCTGCAAATGCCAACAAGCTACTAAAAACAGCCTGTTTAACAGCTACATCTGTTAGTGGGAGATGGAAAAAAAGACAGGGGATCATACTAGGGGTTAGAGAACAGCTAAAATACACAGGGCAGAACATACCAACCTTTTCAGACAGCGGTAACCCGACCTACAATTCCAAATACAATTTAGGGAGACAGAACTTTGTGAGCAAAAAAGGGGGTTAAAAATGTAGAATGTAAAAATGGTAAGAAAAAAACAACGAAGTAATCCTTATCTTTCAGGATCCAACATAATAGTTCGACCAAAAAGAATCCATGCATCTTAAAAAATAAGTCAATATCAATATGGGAAAAGCGTATGGAGGTAAAAGTCAGGAGGCAGAATGTCCAACTCAGTTCAGTGCAAAAAAAAATCCCCATCAGATCAAAAACAAGCTGGAGTAAGAAGTCCAAAATATAAATCCATAATGTTTTTCTTCATACAGCATTACTTGTGTTCTTTATTTTCATTAGTCCTTTGAAGCTAAATGTCTCTGTAGATTTTTAAAAATTTGAAAATGTAAAAATTTTCTGCAAATTTTAAATCCCTCTTCAGTGCATTAAAAAAACAGATTCAGTTATTTGGAATCTTATCTCACCACCTCCTTACAGCTGAAAACAGTTCATTTCTCTGATATCCCAATAGAACAAGGTACCAATGTTCTAATCGCTGTGAATGGTAATAATCCAAGTTAACTCTGAAAACATGGGCATTCGATCAATGTTTTACAAATCCCAGTGGAATCTTCATTGATGTTTGGAAAAAGAGATCAATAATCCATTGGCATTGGAATAGTCCATTAGGAGAAACCGACTTTCTTCTTAATTGTAGTGTATCCATAGTCTGCTGTAGTCCCAGATCCGTTATGGGGCTTTGTAATCCAGTGGCATATTTCACATCCAAACTGAGAGCCCCACAATAGCAATACCTCCATGCTTTACTGTGTGGATCCAAAAATCAGTTCTTTCTTCGGTATATTAGACCAAATGCTACTTTAAATCCTTTTTTTTTCTTTGGCATTTAGGAAAAAAAGAAAAAATGAACTTAAATGGTCTAGAAATAAGTAATGGATAAATAAAAAGATTTGCTCACTGCGTTTCTGTCACATTCTACCATTTTGATCAATGGCAGAAGTCTCCCATGTAATTAAAAGGCAAACCCTAACACCACAAATAATCCCGAAAAAAAGAGAAAAGAAACCGTAGTGATAGAATATCCTTTGTCATTGGGTAGTATTAATCCACTGTGATTAAGAATCCAGAGAATACCATCCAGAGCGCTCCAGATCATGGAATGGAAAGAACTGATTCCTAAACCACCCATTTCAATAATCCAATTACCAATCAATGGGTCTTAATTGATCAACACCGTAATCGTGTTACAATAACAGAGCAAAAACACATGATGTAGCCCATTAATCCACCTTGGGCGGTACAGTACTCCAGAATAGGGCAATTCCAGGTAAGGCCGCGGTCACGGATTCACTCTCGCTTCCAGAAATCCCGGAATATTTTGATATCCGAAACATGCCCTGGACTCTCTTCGCAGCGTTATCCAACTCTGAGAGAATCCCCATGCAGAGGCACGCTAATCTCTACATAATGATAATGAATTTCGGTGCATGTTCACCATGCTTTGACAAACTTCAAAACTGGTTTGCTTTACACAGTGAGCGATGACAGACCTCAACCATCAAAGCGTGATGCCCAAATTAATACCCTCCAGTGTGTTCTCTTAATTTCCCTCATATCACCCGCCCCAAAACAATAAATTAGCCCAATTAATGACGGAAATAACTGGGAGGGAGAGATGAGTTACAAGAAACGAATGGTCCCCCTGCCTTCAGAAAAACTATGTCCACTTACCCGTCTAGTCTGCGTTCAAAGCGTCCCTCTCTGCTGTGGAGTGACACAGGGGGCCCATACACAGGGCCCCCCGCCCCCCTTGTGAACCCTGAAACATCCCGCCCACGAGTGGCTATGGACAGGCTATCATCCAGGCCTCGAGCTGCACTGGGAATAGTTCCAGGCTCATTGTAATCAGTGCGTAGGTCCCTGTCTCCCATCTTGTTGATAGAATTATGAGCTTTCTGAGCACTCTTAATGTCCACAAAATCCACAAAAGCTGCCACTCCACCCTCTGATCCACGTTTTGGGAGCACCTTGACACTCTCCACACGTCCATACCTAAAAAAGCAAAAAATAGCAGAAAAGGTATTTAATTGTAGCCAACACAAATGCATTGCATGATACTTGCAATCAATCATGCTGATATTAATAACCAGAAAAGAAACCGTAGTGATAGAATATCCTTTGTCATTGGGTAGTATTAATCCACTGTGATTAAGAATCCAGAGAATACCATCCAGAGCGCTCCAGATCATGGAATGGAAAGAACTGATTCCTAAACCACCCATTTCAATAATCCAATTACCAATCAATGGGTCTTAATTGATCAACACCGTAATCGTGTTACAATAACAGAGCAAAAACACATGATGTAACCAATTAATCCACCTTGGGCGGTACAGTACTCCAGAATAGGGCAATTCCAGGTAAGGCCACGGTCACGGATTCGCTCTGGCTTCCAGAAATCCCGGAATATTTTGATATCCGAAACATGCCCTGGACTCTCTTCGCAGCGTTATCCAACTCTGAGAGAATCCCCATGCAGAGGCACGCTAATCTCTACATAATGATAATGAATTTCGGTGCATGTTCACCATGCTTTGACAAACTTCAAAACTGGTTTGCTTTACACAGTGAGCGATGACAGACCTCAACCATCAAAGCGTGATGCCCAAATTAATACCCTCCAGTGTGTTCTCTTAATTTCCCTCATATCACCCGCCCCAAAACAATAAATTAGCCCAATTAATGACGGAAATAACTGGGAGGGAGAGATGAGTTACAAGAAACGAATGGTCCCCCTGCCTTCAGAAAAACTATGTCCACTTACCCGTCTAGTCTGCGTTCAAAGCGTCCCTCTCTGCTGTGGAGTGACACAGGGGGCCCATACACAGGGCCCCCCGCCCCCCTTGTGAACCCTGAAACATCCCGCCCACGAGTGGCTATGGACAGGCTATCATCCAGGCCTCGAGCTGCACTGGGAATAGTTCCAGGCTCATTGTAATCAGTGCGTAGGTCCCTGTCTCCCATCTTGTTGATAGAATTATGAGCTTTCTGAGCACTCTTAATGTCCACAAAATCCACAAAAGCTGCCACTCCACCCTCTGATCCACGTTTTGGGAGCACCTTGACACTCTCCACACGTCCATACCTAAAAAAGCAAAAAATAGCAGAAAAGGTATTTAATTGTAGCCAACACAAATGCATTGCATGATACTTGCAATCAATCATGCTGATATTAATAACCATCATACATACTGCCAATCCGCAAAGGGCAGATTAGATGGTGAAAAAGCTGAAAACAAACCTGCATGCCAGTCATTTGTGCAATATGTAAATAAGACTATTCAAATAAAAACAGCCTGCCTTATGTATCATCACACAAAAATTTACCACTGTATGAGTAGCATCAACCACATGCCAGTAATATCTCCTTTCATTTGAATACATCCAATAATTATGACAGGCAAACAAATATCAGATTTTGATGGCCTGTTTCTGGTGCACCACAGAATTGCAAAATAGCATCTTGCTGCACAATATGTATATGCCAATGCCAGAATTCAGTCAAATGTCATAATTCCGTCAAATCATTCAGGCTTGAAACGTCCTTGTGATGTTTTGATCTGCTCTATTTACCTCTTCTGGACATGTTTAATAAATGTACATTAATTTTTACCGTACAATTCTTGAAATATGGTGCTCGTATGAGCCTCATGTAAATATACTATACATTAATTTGCTGTCAATCATCAAACAAATAAACAAAACATACGTAAACAGATGACAGGTGTACATGGAGGTTAAAACAACACTTGGTAAGCAAAATATGAAAATGTGTAATAAGCAATAGGCATTCAAATGGGTGCTCTAGGTGAGCAGCTGTCTGATACACCAGTTCTCACACTCACTACACAATCTCCGTCGCCATTTTACAAACCTATTCACACTGCTTATTCATTCTCGCGTCCCCCATCTTCAATAAGTAGGCTACCTCTGCTGCACTGACCTGAGCTTTGACAGACACCGTACACAAATCACTTCGGGGTACATTAATATGTTCCATTTATTTATATAAATGTATATATCTGTATTTATTTTTCTGTATACAACAGAAAACTATTTCTCCTTTAATATTCCGTCACAATTGAGCATGAGCATGTTTTAATTTAGTTCCCATTCAAGGAGCGACCGTTATTACCACAATTCAAATCTAAATAGACAAGCATGTGAACAAAAGCCTGCCGTTGAGACAACAAAGCGGTTGGTCTAAAATTGAATAAATTATTTACACAAATCTTATATGTAGGTTCTCTCATACTAGTGCCTGCCTCCTTGTGTGCTTGACTCGCAAAGTAATATCTTGCTATGTATTGTTATGATGTTCAGCCTAAACATCTCCAGCACAATACAGGCTATACAACCCAAAAAACAACAACATTATGATGAGTTCGATCACACCTGCATTTTTCAAAGACTACGTCTGTGTGTTTTGATTGTAACGTTATTTGTACAAATATGTGACTTGACAGACTATATTCATACGTGTAGGTAATTAATGTGGTCAATAAAGTTGTTATACAGCCTTTAGTCAAGTCAATTCTATATGTATAGCGCTTATTTTTACACTAACTTACATTGTTTTAAGGGGATTTACAGAAAAACACGACGTTAATGTTTATAATACCTTAATACCTTCGTCGCATAACGCTGGGCGATAATATAGTTAACATTTTGCGATGATACTTGCGATGTAACGTTAGTTTCGCTTAACGTGACTATACTGTATGTATGCAGATAAAGCTGGGTATATTTAGATATCCAACCTTTTATAGAGATGTATGCGTTAATAATTTATGTTTTGGGACGATATAAACAATCAAGCAACCGACTTTAAAGTCAGATGTATTGGTGTAACACACGATATTGCGATGTCACTACTGAGGGAGCAATCTCGCCACGCTGTTTCAGATAAAAACCGATTCGCACCATTTAGTTCCAACAAACCGTGTTATTCTGATTTAGTTACGCCTTCCACTCAAAGCCAGGTTGTAACTTGTAAAAACGATATACTACCTCGCATTACCTGAATCCATACAGGTGAGAAATGGACATTAAACCCCTCGGGTATGTGGGTGGTTTTGAACGCTAGATGCTTTTTAACACTGAATATCATGCCTTGCTGCCATACTAAACAAAACAGCCCATGTATGTGAGTATATTCACCTCACAGCCATACACAAACTTCTGGCTGACAACTTAACGTAAACGTCCTATTGGTGCGGTATTAGGTACTGTCGCCACATGTTCATAGACTGACAGAAATGATAATTTGCAGGTTGGTCCTGAACATTTTCAAACACAAACTCGTCTTGAAAGTATCCCCACGCTGCTATTGTTTGACTTCTCCTAGATGCAGCCACTGACGGTCACCGCTCGCCTGACATTCATGACATCTGAGCCGAACTCAAAACAACACCCATTGTAATGCTTTTAGTAGTATAATACAGACAGCATTTAGCCAATTCAGCTCGCTCGCAGTATTTTTTCAACCACAAAGCAACAAACGTTACCTTTCAATAGTGCTACTGACATCTGGGTTGCAAATTAACGCAAGTTGAAGCCAGCAGTAATACAGCCAACAGTTACAAGTAACGCGCTTGTATGAGCCCCTCCGTGCTAATTAGCAACCTAGCGACGACTGCGACTCTCGAAAGCTAATCACTAGCCAGCGTACGTTAAGTGAGCCAAAACAAGCCAACTCAATAGCAGCGTTGCTGCGAAAGTTGTGGCACACGTTTAAGGTGTTTATCTCCGCACCGGTGCGCTGCTATTGTTTTCCCCCAAACACTTGAAGGAAGCACATTGCTGGATGTTGTCTCGCTCTCAGCAAATCGTCACTTACCGTTTGAAGTGCTCGATAATTTTTTCCTCTCGTACATTTTCTGGTAAATTCCCCACCCATAAATGTCTGGTTTCCCGGACCATACTGCGTTTTGGTGTCCCCCGATCATACAGAAGATTTTACTGAGTTAAATCCGGCTGAATGTGTGTTACGGTGGGCGAGCAGTTCCTCTGACTCGACACTACGATTGGACCCGCTTGCACTTGAAAGCTGTGTTGACTACGAGAGCCTCAACCTTGCTGTCGAGGAGCGCGCTCCGGTTCATGACGAGATCGCGCATATGCAATGAGCACTCGGAATACCACATGGATCAAATAATCGGACATGACATATTTTATTGTAAATCACTTTTAAGTGTTAAAATGTGCATATACGTTGGATTCATGCAAGGTAAAAGTCAGACTAGGTTGCCTTGCTTTAGTATGACATTTGGCAGCCTGTTTGTAGAACAGGACTTTAAAAATGCAAGTTAATCATAATCTTGGGGTGTAAATTGTATGAGACGTGTGGTTTACCGCAAACTCTTTATACATGAGTCAGTGGCAGGACGGTGTTATTAGCTTCAGTACTGCTACTTTTCAAATTTATACAATACAAATTCAAATAGTTTTGTCATATTATAAGCTCCATAGTATACGTTTGCACATCCATTTGTTTTCCCAAAATCCAGGTGGGAACAGTCTGTTTTATATACGACTCACAAGTCAAAACAAAAGACATAACGAGATCCTCTGTACTCCGGGGAACTAGTTCATTTAGTGCAGGTATAATTTAGTCAACTCTCTAGCTAATAGTTCCGTCTGTATTTGTGGGTGATTAGTAGCCTAGTCGGATATCTCCCAGTCTTAACTACAACAACAAGAACGATGTCTTTAACATGATTAGTTAATTGAAAAGACAAGCGTCGCGTAAGCTTAATAATTAACGACAGTACAGCCTGTTAACAATTAGGATCAACTGTCCAAAATGTAAATAAAAGCGACGATTAATCACTAGCTTATTGTGGCAATCAAATGCTGTCTTGAAGAAACACCCAAGATAATGCCCAATCATGTAACATTTCCTTATTAAAACAAACATTTGTCTGTTTTCCAACTATGCACGAGGCGTATGGTTTGGTTCTCGCATGCGCCAGAATGCGGCAAAACAGGGGCCGCAATGGATGAATCGCGCGTGCGCTTTTCACGCCCACATAGAGTTTTGACAAAGAGCGATCACAAACCCTCTGAGTGGTAGAAAATTCTGGAACTTGTACTGAGGTGGAGCAGTTTCTCAAGCTGGATCTTGAGCAAGCCACGTCATCTTCAGATTCAGTCTTGAGTTCTTACTGGAATTGCATGGACTTTCTGGATCTGCCTAAATCCTTAATATTTATGGAATAGAACTAATAAAATTTAATTCTTTGACAGTTCTTTTGGGATTGGATTTGGGATTGGTTGCACGTTGGATGTACAAAAACGCAATTTAGTCCTAAACAATGTTGTATGTTATACAATAAATGAATCCCCTGGATACTTGGACAACAAATGTTCTTTTTTTCTTGCTCCAAACACAAGACGGTGTGGCAAACTTCTAAGGACGTGAAGACATTTATTGCTTTACTAAATTGATAAGAATAATTGTAATGTATTTATTCGACAGAGGAAACGACGGGATTGTAAACAAAAAAGTGACAGAATGTGGAATGCGTTTGAGAGAAATGTTTTGTCCTTGTATGTTTGAGCGCTTTTAAACGTCCTGGAACAGTCTCACCGTGATGAATTAAACGCGTACAGATTGCATACCAGAGCGATTTACGCGTCACAAACAGATCACACACTCGATGTTCTTGAATGTTCGGTTGTTAATTTTTGTCGTCAGTTATCAAAAGAATGTTCTTTGAAATAGGCTATGACGCCATTTTGAGAATAACCTAGTGTAGGCAAAACCCAGCACAACAAAAGAAATGACAGCGCCACGGCCATTTTGTTTCCAGTGGAGCTATTTTGGGTTCAAGTTCAGTTTAACTTCTTTAGCGCTTGGCTGCTTCCAAGGAATTGACGGAACTAAATTGTTACAGGGCTAAAAAATGTTAAAAGACTAGACGCAATTATGTAGTGTGTGTAAATGCTACTTTTAACTGTTTTTGTTGTGTTAGTTGTGTTTATTATAATGCCTGGGTGACTCTGGCCAAATTTGTTAGCCTACTGTTCCTATCCAAGTCATAGATAATCAAAATTAATATTGCTTGATATATATATATATATATAGGTCTATAGGTGTAGAGGAAATGTAATTCACCATATTCATACAGATATTGAATATTTATTATTATGGAAGGCATTCTTTTTCATGCAGTACTAAAACGGTAAGGGACTAAATCGGCTTGAAATATTTAGGAATTGAAAGGCACATATCTCTTAAATACTTAAATGTACTTTTTTTTCAGACAAACCACAGACCCTCATGGGATTGTGTTTACAACCTAGATTGTATTTTGCAGAGATGTGTGTGTGTGTGTGTGTATATATATATATATATATATATTTATATATATATATATATAGGTCAAGTTTGTTTTCATCCAAGCCTAGTCCAGTTTCCTTTCGAAGTTCCTTAGTTCTCCCCGATTTCCAGGTCTTTTTAATGGGCCTTTAGGCACGTAGGTGACATGCTGTGAAAATACAGTATGTTATTACATTTTATGCACACAATCTTATCTATTGAATGCCTTGGGGATCAGATGAAGAGATAAGAAAATGCAATCAATTATTATTTCTAACCTGATATATGGCTTCCAAAAGGTCTTGAGATGTAAACAGGCATGCAGCTTCACCAGTGAAGCAGATTAGAACATGGAGTACATCTGACCAGCTGCCCACTGTAATCAGTAACACAAAAAGCCCACCCAGTCGTACAACAACTGTATTGAGAATCTGCTGGCCAGGCGGATGATGTCGATCCTCTGAAAGATGGATTATATACTCATGATTAGACTCAAATGATGGCCAGTTTTGCCATGAAATGTACAATACTGTTCAAATGTTGGGCTTAGTAAGTTTTTGTTGTTGTTGTTATTTTTTAATAAATTAATACTTTTATTCAGCAAGGGTGGATTACTCAATTTAAGTTATACAATAATCAACATATCAATTATATAATTTCAAATAAATGCTGCACTTTTAAATTCCAGTGAATAGAACTGTATTAAAACCATTACATTTTGCTAATTGATTGTCTTACCATTCATGTACACAACCAGCAGAGTGTAGCAGATTGTGAGTGGGGTCCAAAATCTCAGAGCCTCAGTGGTTGATAGAAAGTGTTGGTTTATGTTTGATATAGCAGCAATTCCAGATACACTAAAAGTTATAATTAGGGCACTGCAGAGCCAGGTTAATATAGAACTGCCAGTGGTTAATAGTCCAATGCAAAGTCCACAATAGCGCTGTGTACTATGTATTGGATACATTGTATTTACATGTCGCCATACTCTGCTGCACCGGCTTGCCAAGAACCAGCTCAGTCCAACTGCAAGGAGGAGGCTTAGCCAGCCTTGCGGTGCCCCCTCATGGAGGAAATTAAGGCTGCAGGTTAATGCGCAGCCCAAGGAGAACTGGCACTGGACAAGCAGCAGTAACGATGGGTCAATTATTGAGTCCTAAACAAAAAGAAACAGAACATTTTATCTAGAATGATATCGAGTTGTCATGCAGAAATGTATTAAATGTCACAAATAAATTATGCTCATACTGATCCTCCTGTGATCCTTGCTGAAATGGCTCTAAGAGAGAACTCTAAAACTACCAGTGATGCAACGCGAGACCCCACAACTGAAAGAACCACTGTTAGGATCCAGAACTGAATTTTCTCTGTTAGTCCACCATTTAGTCTGTTCCGTCGTTTAATGTCTGTTTCAGGATCTGCGACACTTAAAAGAACAGACAAGTGAAATGTACAGAACCATCAACACAAAAACTGTCGTATCATATTATTTAAATATTATATAGGCTAGATTATATCAAATATTTATAAGCTTCAGCCATACAGCATGGGCATATATAGCACATATACATTTTTACCTCTGTGCCTCAACAAACAAGTAAGTTTTTAAAAGGTTACGAAGAACCCAGATTCCACAAGCACCCACAAGCCCTGTGATTAACATAAAACACAAAATTATATATATATATATATATATAATTTCACAATGCAGGGCAAGATTATACCAAAAGATCAATCTATATTTATAATAAATAAGCTATTGTTATCAAAGTAAATTAACTCCTTTATTAATGAACATTTGTGACAGAATGTTAATTTCATGACTCACCTTGTAAAACACTATGTAAAGGAATAGCACTTGGTGTTAGCCAAGTAGGAACACTTGGCAGAAACCGGGAAATGAAGGACAACATGCCTATGTAAGTGAGAAATTGTTTAATGTGCCAATGATTTGTTTACATAGATACTAGTCAAACTGGCCACACACACACACACACAAAACTAAATCTTAACTAATCAAAATCATCAATATTACTGACCTTATTTTGTTATTTTCAGTTGCGTTGTTTGCGAACCTCACTCACATATAACCTTTATCAAGTGCAGATATGAGAGTTGGAGGTTTGGGAGCACAGTCTCAAAGGTCACTTAGGCCTTGATCAGTTTTTACAAATGTATGATTTGTTTCTCTACAGCCACAAAGTTTTAATCTATTAATGTATTCCCATAATTATTTCTGAGGCCTGTTCCTGATTTAAAATAGTAAAAATATGAAATAAAAAAACAACAACATTACATTTCTGCCCTCTGCTTGGGATTATTTTCATTTCCGTTAACTGATATCATGTGTACTTTCCAGAGATTTTATGAGGGGACTTGAACTTTACACTGCATTCAAGAGCTTTGAACAGTCAACAATTACCACCCATCCAGAGTAGAACATTAATATTACATTTTGTTGCCCAGCAATGTACAATGTACTTTATGAGGCAAAATAGAAACACATATGGGATTACATAGTTAATAATAATAATTTATTTAGGATATTGTAATTGTTTTGTTTTTTGGGGGGACTAGAAAACAGACACACTCCATTTCAATCTTTCATATTGTGAACCGTATTGGAATAGGACAATCAGACATTATTTTACAATAGTGTTCCTCAAATACAGCATCCTCTTCTGCACTAAAGTGATTCTTCCAGTCACCAACCTCACCTATAAAACAAAATAAATATA